GAGGGGCGCTGCCCCTTTAAGGCGCGCCCGGGCAGCCCCCCGCCCCCTCCCCACCACTCCCTGCTCGCTCTTAGAGGCCAATTTTGTTAATTAAATGTTTTGTTTGCGACGCGGCTCCCATTCATTTCGGACACGTCATTCTGAGCAGATCTAAGCCAGGGACCAGATCTCATTAGATAAAACCTATCAGAACTAAGAGAAAATGGAGGAGACACTAATTAAAGCTTTTAATTGTGTGGATTCAGTGCCACGCTGCTGCTTTATCTGGCATCTGAAGGTTGGGAGGGCTGCGCGCCGCTCTCCTCCCGCAGACGCGCAGGGAAGGGCCGCGCTTCCCGCCTCCCTCTCCTTTCCCAGGGAGCTGGGCTCTCCACGAGAGCTGCTGCTGCGGCCCTGCCRGGCTGGGCGCACGGGGCGCGCACGGAGCCTCCTTCACGCGGCCTCGCCTCGGCCTGCACCACTCAAGCCCCTTCACCCGGCGCCTGCCCGACCCACCAGCCCTCGCTTGCTCAGGGCCCCACGTCCCGCCAGGACCCACGCGAGCCCCGTGCAGGTGGCAGAGCCCCACGCAGCTCATGGAGCCCCACGCAACTAAGAGGCGGCAGCGGAGGCTGGGAGGCACTCGCTGCCCGGCGGGAGATCCCGGCTGCGGGGGTCTGCCCTCCAGCACGGAGCGCCCGACCCCACCTTGCGCACTCGCTGCCTGGTCAAGTTTCAGCAAGCATCTGTCCAAGTTATTTTTGTAAGCCAAATGACTTAGATCCAGAGAGGAGTCAGGCGATGGAACAAGGAGATCAATTCGAACTCTCATCTGATAAAGCATCCTATTCATAATCGCCKACGTTAAAATAAATGAGTATTAATTTTTGGCAACACAAAACCAGAGGATTGCGATAAGCTTGCCTGAACTTGCCTCTGGGACACAGTGGACGCATCTTCTCTTTTTAATTAGGAGTAATCAGACGTGCGGGTTTGTTTGATGGTGTTGGCCGAGTGATGAATCTGTGCTATTCAGTGCATCTTAACAGTAGTGTCAATTTTTCCACTTCAAACGCGCCTCCTTCCCTAACACCGTTCTGCTCTATTTAATTACAATTCTGCCAGGCTTAGGCTTGTTGCTTAGGATGACGACGACCAAAAAGCACCATTAAGAGCTCACATGTGCTGATTTTCTATCACTCGTTGCTGAAAACATCCCCCAAAACTAGCAAAGTTAATGCTGCATTTCCTAAAACATCTTTTAGGAACTGCATTAGGCTGCATTTCTTCTACTTAATCGACTGAAGGTGCAGCCATGTATCAGGACAGAGGCTGCATTACCAGAATAACCGAGCACGGCTCCTTTCAGACTAATGATGGCTCCACAAATTTAAAGAAATTGAGTACAGTGCCAATCTTTCTATCTCAAATAGAAGTCAAGTTTTACAACACAAACTGGTAACATTTTTGGCCAAGTGACTTACAGAAAAGAKGAAAAAGTGGTAGAACTTCTCAGCCATTAAGAAAAGAAAAAGCCCATATAAACTCTCGATATTTACAGTAAGTGAGAAGTCAGAGCATTTAARGAAAATACAATTTGTTTTAACTAAGCATTTCTGTTTGCCGGCGAGGTGCAGGGCTTTTTGTTGGTTTTTTAATTACTGAGTGTTGAAATAGAACACCTCCTTGAAGCATTCATGTGCATCAGTCTATCAAACCATTTACTCAAATTAAATGTGTAATCCTTCAAAATGCCTCCTTTTAAATTAATGAGTTTAAGTAGCTTGAGTTCACCTGAAAAGATCCTATGGGCACCTGACCTCATGAATTCTTTCTATTAATTATATTGAAAACTCTTTGGAAGGGATACTCTGCATAATCTTACTGTACCCCAACAGATGCAAGATTAACTAGGCTTAGTTCCCCCTACCCAGATCCGTGGCATTTAAAGGGAATAGCTTGGAAAAGGGAAGAGACAAGAAATAAAGAGCACGAGCATATCCTTTCCATCCTTTCTGCTGCCTTTTCTATACTGGCAGCTGGAAGTTAGGAAAAACATTGGTTCGAAGCCTCAACACAGCAACGCACAGACAAACATYACCACCGTTTTTGGCCACGAGCAGAATCCCTGGTCCTCCAAGTGATGGTTAATCAGCTCTTTCACAAGGAGAATGGAGAATGACTCATTCTGTTTCCACTCAAAGGAGTTTAAAGGTGCTTATGTAAATATCATAATTAATCAGATACTAAAGGCAGGCATTTCATTATTTAGCACCTCCGCCACAGCCTTATTTAAGCCCTACGATTTTAACATTTACCGTTCAGATATGCACGCTTCTCCTTCCACACTACAACAAAGCAGATTAATTTAGCCTCTCTGATTGCTGTTTATTTTTAGTTAGGACTTGTTTTGTGCTGACAAACCACTTTAAAGTTCCAGTCGTCGTTCCGCCTCCCGCCAGCCCTTCCCTCCGCTCGGCAGCGGTGCTGCGCCCAGGGCGAGGCGCTAACCTGCCTCTCCGCGTGCAGGTCTTGCCTCCCGCTYGGAGCACTGGGCAAGGGAAGGTAGGAAGGGGCTGCCCCGCGACGCTCACCTGATGTAGTCGTTTCTGCAGAGGATCATGCCGCTCTTGGTGTAGCAGGAGGTGCCAATGTCGCCCAGCTGGGCCTGGCAGCAGGAGCACTTGAGGCAGCGGCTGTGCCAGTAGCTGTCCATGGCGTAGAGCAGGAAGCGGTCGGCGATCTTCCCGCCGCAGCCGGCGCACCTCTTCCACGAGAGGGAGCCCGCCGTGACCGGGGGCGGCTGYGCGCTGCCGCCGGGGTTCACCATGGCCTGCGGGAGAGCGGCGCGCGGCGTGAGCGCGGAGCAGGGACAGCGCGGCCGGCCTCGTCCCGCGCTCACGCCTCGCGAGGCAGGCGCAGTCCCGGGGGCTGCTCTGCTTTAAAAAAAAAAAAAAAAAAAAAAAAAGTTGTGAAACTGGTTTTTCAGTCGAGGAGAGGCTCTGCAGGCGGGGAGCGAGGGGCTCGGGACGTGGCGCCCGGGTGATTGATTTTTATGATTATGATCATTTCTGGAGATACAGAAGGTACCACTGCGGAGCTGGCCCGGATAACAGATCCCTGGGCTGTGGGACGCCTGGTAACTTCCTAGACAAACACACTCAACTTGTGCCTCGCTAATCTGCCCTTGATCTGCAGTTTAAATGCTAAAGCTTTGGTGCTCAAAAAGAAAGGCAGAAAAAAAAAAAAAAAAAAGGAAAAGGAAAAAAGAAAAAAAACCCACACAGTTGGCTCCGCGGGAGGGAAGGGGCCGGGCAGCGAGGCGCCCGCTCGGGCCCCAGTGAGCCCGACCGCCTCCGAACTGCCGGCCGGGGCATTCCTCACTTGGTAACAAACGCTTTCTGCAAGCGGGACATCTCGGAGATAATATAGGAATCAATTCATAAAGCTTACTCTAAACCGATTAATTTGCTGCCTTCARTCCGGAGCCCCATAAACTCCCGGTGTTCCTGCAGTCACTCGCGCTATAAAAAGCTCAAGTTATTTACTGCCAATTAAGCAGCGCGCCGTGTCTTTGTGCCGGGCGAGGCGGGCGCCCGCGCCGACACCTCCGCGCCGGCACCGGGCCGAAGTTTCGCGGCCCGGCCCAACTCGGCCGAGCCGAACCGCGCGCCGACTGCCCGCGCGGCCGCGGCTGGAGGTGCGTCCAGCGACCGCACAATAACCCGCGAGAGCTGCGCCAATTAGGCTGTAACAAAAACCCCGAGACTTTGGAAAGAAAAACCACTCTAAAAGCCATTAGCATTGCATTTATCCGAACGCATCATATACCTTTATGTAAATTGATTTCTGATGCATTTGTTCAAGGAATTGCCTTTTGTTACAGTTTCCAGCTACAGCCTAAATGAATCTGCATTTCCTGCTACGCGTCTTTAAACTGTTTCCCTGCGCTTTAAATCACTTCGGGTTTCTTAAAAGAAAGAAAAAGACTCCATGCTACCACATCGCCCCGTCTTTGTCGAAAGCAAATACATATAAAATGGGAAACGTAACACTGAGAAAACCATCCAGTAACCCCATTAAGCTAAAGCTCTTAAGGACAAGCAATACCTTAATGCTGATTAAATCTAAAAAGATGAATCAAGAGGACTGACCAGAAAGTGACTCCCTTGATAACTAAGGACGGGCCCTCATCAAGTTTCATTTAGAGTTGGGGGAAAAAAAGCTTTTAACTTAAATAGGCTTACTCTAGTAATTACACAGCCAAGCAATTTAGGTCCTGGGATAGGAGTCAGTGAAATAGAAAGCAGAGCTGGAAGCTAGAGGCAAAATAACCCCCGCCCCCCCTCCTCCACCCCCCTTTTAACAGCGTCTCTGGTGTTTTTTTAATGGAGACCAAGAGAGGGACAAGCGGAGAGCTGGCAATTTGTAGTACAAAAATGGATGCTTAATTCATGTCTTGGTTTTAATTAGGTGATTCACCGGATTTCTCCTGGATTGAAACAAAAGACCGTGCGGGGGGCAGGAAGGGGTTGGAGAGGGGAGAAATAGAGAGCTCACTTTGATCTTTTCTGCCACTGTTACGGCACGGCGCC